TGAACTTATATGTACAGCATACGTCTTCCATATTATTTTTTTTCTCTACTGGGAGCCATTTTCGAATTGCAAAGATATCGAATTTCAGCACAGCGTTGTCTAACTAATGAATGTTCAAGGGAACAAGGTTCCAGTTTCATTGGTGCCTTTTTTTGCTATGTATAGATCGCTTTTGGAACCCCTAGAGGCCTCCTAGAAGAGGTTCCAAGAGGAACAAAAGTAGTCATGTAGTTTTGAGAATGTGTTGTTGCTGTTCTTTTGTTGCTCCGCCCACTTTGGAGTTCTGGCAGTCTTCTTTTTTGCAAAGTGTTCTAAATCCCGTTACTTCTTGTGCTCGACTATGGTTTCTTGTCTACTCAGAAACATAGATTCTAATAGAGATTCTGATTCTTGAACACCTTCTGCTCCACGAACTTTCGGAAATGAAAGAAACCGAAAAAAGAAGTAACCAACGATCAGAGCATGTTTCTTTTTATAGAGAATTCGTGCTCAGCCGCGCACCCTACAAACACTCTATCTTCTTCTTTTTTTTCTTCCCCAATTCTTTTTTCTTCTTCTTGAATAAAGAATATAAAAAAGAATGTGGGTCCCAGTGTGTTGGAATCGAAAAAAAAGTGGAACCCGTGTGCGCCGTTAGTGTATGCCAAGTGCGGTCCAATGAGCCTAAACCAATTGCTCTTTTTGGTGCGACGGGCGCGTGTGTGCGCATCTCGAGGAATGTTTCATCATCGTCATCATTTTATTCCAGAGAGCTTTTGAGCTTGGTCCCTCCCCTCCTCCTCCTCCGAAAACTGACATATCTCCATACACACAAACACACACACACATCTATTCAAGTACATACCCAAATGTGGTCCTGCGCTCGGTTTTTCTTCTTCTTCTTGCTTTATTTCATTCCTTTCCTATTCTACCATGTTACATTTGAATTTGGGTCTTGTCTCCCCTCTCCTGGTCCTCCCAAAATGAATTCATTTAGTTTTCCCTTCCATTTTCATTCCGATACACCAGCCCAAAACCAATCGGAAAGTGCTCTTCTCAATCTCCAAAAAGAGAGTGGAGCATTCATCTCGTTATCCAGAAAAAGGTAATCGTCACGCGTTCAGGAGGAAAACTTCAGGAAATTCAGATTTTTTTATGATGTGGCTCAGAGCATCCGGAAATGATAGAAGTCTGAAATGTATGAAAGTCAAAACCAAAGCTTCAAAAAAGCGTCTAGAAAAAGATCACATGCACTTTCCCATGTGAATATCGAATTTCCGAACGTTTCGAGCAATTCCTAATCCTTCCCACGGATCAAAGCTAAAAAGAACATTTCAGAGGATTTGTCTAGAAGAGGATTTTCGTCGCGAATAAAAGTTCAATACGGATTTGTAGTTTGGCGCAGATTGATACAAATCGCTCGTCCCTTTCTTGCACTTCTTAACAAAAACTTCAATTTCAGAGAGCAAGCTCAAACACCCATTTCTAGAATTATCTGAAAATTCACCTGCTAGTCTCGTGTTGCGTTTCTGAAGCTGTTCTGCCCTTAATCATGAATCATTCAAGTTGCATTAGATTTTCCGCTAGCACGCTGTCTAAGAACTTCTGCTCTTGCTCTTTCGACGTCTTCTTCTTCAGCTGATGCACTTTTTGAGCCAACCTCTTTTTTTGAACAGCGAGAGACAGACAAAAAAGCAAAAAGCACACAATGAGCGAACATTTCCTTGGAAGAGAGTTGTTGCAGCTCCCCGACAGGGTTTTTTGCTAAAACGACCCCCAAGCGCCCGAGTTTTTTTCTCTCTGCAATATACAGTGTCGCGCATGCAAAAACCAGCTTTTTCATATATTTTATGCCGTTTGTCTCGTTGCTGCGCACACCTGACGCGAGATGAAACAAAAAAGAACAGACAGAGGAGCGTAAAGACTGTCGACAAAACACACATAGTGAAAATTTGCCGAGATCAAGCGAGTGGCAAAAAAGTGGAGAATCACCCCCAGGAGCTTCTTTATGCACTTTTTGTTCCTTCTTTTGGCATATTAATAATGGCTTCCTTCGTCACTTTGAGCCTCCTGAGAGGCACCAGCCTGATTAGACGAACGCTTCAAATTGGAGTCAGCAGCTTCAATATCAATTTTCGGAACTTTAATTTCGCAAAGTGCTAGCGTAGTTCTCTGAATCCTTCTTCCCACACACTTCTCTTTTCTTCTTTTTTGTTTTTCCTAGAACTCTCATTTTTAACTAAACCAATTTTTCGAGCAAGAGTAGAAAAGGAAAAGAAGATTCTGGGTTCACTGTGATTCAAAGAAGACGAAGAAGAGGACGACGAAGAAGAAGCTGAGGACGAAGGCACGATCGTAAACTTTAAATTTCTTTTTGTGTGCCCCTTTACTTTTTTTTCCCACAGCTTCTTCTTTTTCTTCTTCGTCGTCCTCGGATTCTTCGTTTCCTTCAAAATTAGTTTGATTTGAGCCTTCGAGTTGATGAATAATCTAGGAAGACGTGAGGGGTGCGCCACGGCGCCATCACTCCGCCCTTTTTGCGACGACGACGTCCTATTCAGAAAGTACATCCGTGCAAGAATGTGTGTGCACATGTCTTTCAGTAGTTCCTTCTTCTTTCATCTTCTTGAGCTCCTCCATCTTTTTTGTTCGGAGAGCACCATCAGCGAACTTCTTATCCATTTTAAGCCCTTTCACACGCATTCATATGTTTGAAAAAGAAAAAAAAAGAGTTCTGTCTTCGTCTTATTTTCCGCCATAAACTTTTGATCAGATAACAAGCGTCCCTCTCGTTGTTCCGCGCCAAAGAACTTGGTTTTCGATCCCGCCGCCCGCCGCCCGATTTTGAAGTGCGCTTATCTGAAAGGGGTAGAACGGCTGAACGAAGGTTATATGACACAGACAACGACGACGGGAGAGGGAGCGACGCCTTCTCGGCAAATCGTGTGCCTCATGATAGATCTTATGGCATAGTACAGATGCACTTTTTTTCCAACCCAATCCGTTCGCACACATAGACTGACATACACTACTACCCGAGACAGACGCTCGCACACACACACACACACACAACGAACTTTTCCGATTACTCGTCTCACCCCCAGGTCCTCCAACCATGTAGTTGAGTCGGCTTTTTTTCTACTCTCTCTTTATTTTGTTAGTACGTTTTTCTCCTCCAGAGAGTAGTGTGTCAAGATAGTGACGCGACACGTGTGTTCCGAAAGTACTAGTAGTTAAAGTGATGATCCCTAAATCTCCGATTTCTCAAAATTCCTCACAACCATCCTATCCGTGTTCTTATTTAGGTCTGTCTGGCGCCAAAGGCCTTTTGCAAAAACGCATACGATCAAAGAGACAATCTTATAGAGAGTTATGCACTCCTTATCAATCATGCTCTGTGTTCAACCCTGAAATTGACATTTCCTTCTTCTTTCTCCTTCTTCTTTAATTTGACGTTTTCTCGCCTCCAAGGTTCAGTCAGTCCCCGACTAGTTTTGCGCAACATTCCAATCAGAAGTAGTAGCCGTTATTCGTTGCCAACCAATTTTCGAAACAATCATCAAGGTAGAGTAGTGATCAGCAGTTAAGATTTCTTCCTATCTCTCCTTACGCGTGTCAGCGGAAAAAAAAAACGATTGCCCGTTCTTCTTCCTACCGTAATCCCTATCTCTCCCTGTCTATCAGTAAATTCCGAATTCGTTTTTCATCTTCTCCTTCACCTCCCATCGCCCTTCACGGAACTTTAGAAACAATTGATAAACCCGAGAGACGAACTGCTTCATAAAGTGATGATGAAGATGATATGCATTTGACCTTCAAACAATTACCCCCAGCGAATTTTTGCGGTGGTCTAAGTCTATACTGAAACTGTCGCGTTTCGCTACTAGCGGTTTTTTTCAACAAAGAAAAAATGTCTCCAAATTTGAAACATCGGACGGGTCGGGCCGTGGCGCCGCCAAGGTCTACCACCTCTGTTCGAGAATGAAAGGCAAAATGCGTTTCACAACAAAGACTCTTCTTCCCCTTGAAAGGTTAGAAAAACCGAAAAAACCCAAGATGGCAATCGAGATTTTAGAATATGATATGTACATAGTACTTGAGAGTTCAGAATTCATGTCTTGAGCTTGTTCTCTTTTCTTTCTACTTCGTTTTTTTGTCTTTTCTCTTCTCCCTGTTCAAACAGTCATTTGTTATTCAAGTATCTCGCTTTACATCTCACATCCACCTCGTTATAATTCCTTTGGTACATGTATCCGATGTCCGTAAAGCCCATTAATTTTCTTCCACTTACCATTTTTTTTTCTTTTCCTCGGGACCATTGCGGCTCCCGATGTGCATTCCATCTTTTTTCTGCGCCCTCTTCTTCTTCTTTTTTCTTCTTCTTCCTTCTTCTTCTTGCTGCTCCACGCCACCTGACATCAAATTCAGGCCCTGTGGTGGAAGGGTGGAGTGGGCGTGGCCTCGATTCGTTCTGATAAAGTTCTTCTCCTTGCCTCCTATAACATTTTTTGTCGCCGTTCTCGGTCTCGTCACTAAATATCAATCAGTCTATCAGTGCCCCCTTACCCAACCGTATCACTTTTCCGGTATTCCAACACAAAACCATTTGACAAACCATCACGACGTCGTCGTCGTTGTAGCAGTGACTCCATCATAACGCTCCAGCCTCATCTGGACCAACAGCAACTACACGCCCTGCCTCCATCACTCGCCCAATCAAGCCTTTCCTTTATCATGGATCTACCGGGAACGTCGACCAGCGACGAATTTCTGCAACATTTCGCTTCGTTCAATTTCAATTCACCAACGTCGCCAGTTGGTCAACAGCATCCTGGAATCATGCCCACACTACAAGCCATGTATCCCACATTGATACAAGTACCCGATCTCAAAGGGGACTACCTAATGAGATCCGATATAAGCGCTTTCAAGTTGGTTCTTTACCCGTGTTCGGCAGTTTAGATTAGAACTTTTAGACTTTTAGCGTCACAGTACCTTACTCCTAACTTTCGCAGTTTCAGGGAGGTTCACGATCTACGGACGGCAGTAAATCTGATACTGCCAATGCTACCATTGTATCCACAACTACCGAACACATTCACAACAGCAGCAAATATAGCAGCACAACCTGCCCTGCATCAAGTGTTACAACAGAGTCTTCTAAGGAGAAAACCTACAGCTCATACACCAACCGTTCCACAGCCCGAGTGCCCGGGCCAGCTACGGACAGTATTAAGCTCCCGTAAGTTCCCATGTTTCAGGATTTTGTTCATTGCACTTTGCCCTTATAACGTCTTTATGATTTTTATGCGTTTTAGGAATTACTTTTCCTTATCTTATACTTTTTTCTGTTCGAAGTGTTCCCAGCCAGTGGCACCACGCGATTTTTATGATATTAAAATGGTTTTGAAGTGTCATGAGTGACAGGTGTGTGTTGCTGATAAGAGAGGCAACGCTAGAAGAGCAAACTGACAAGAACACTAGAAATAGGTGATACCACGGGCGTGTGATAGGGCAAGAACTCTGAGGAGAACAACTGTTGAACCGTTTAGAAGCAGCGGGAAGAAACATTGAGCAAAAAAAAGATAAATGAGTTTGAAAACGCAGCTGCACCACTGGTGCGAGCATTGATACCCCTCTTCTTTTTTGCTTCTTCTTCTTCTTCCAATCGTATTCTTTTTTCAGCTGGTTCAGCATTGCCAAACGTTATGCTGATGAACCACTTGATGATAAATGGACTCAAACCAGTCTCACCGACACTGCCCAACGGTCACATTCAACCAGCCGTTGGTGAAGCTTCAATGCAGACAGATGAGCAACAAGTGAAGTGGAGCAGTCCATCCAGCGTGGATAGCAACGGACAGAAAACTGACAGTTCGGCAGGTAAAATGAACTGGGAATGTCTGAAAGTGCAAGGGAGCTTTGACGGAACTCGCCGCTCGCTCTGCAAAAGATTTTTGTACTCTGGTCACAAACTTTTGACTTTTCTTTTCTATCTCACGTGATTTTTCATTGCATTCAGGGGTTCTAGCAAGTCGCGTTGAATTGAAATAGTCATTTATAACCGAAGGACACCAGCACTATCCGTTTTTCTATCTCTCCGCTTGTCACCACCGTTTCAAAAGATGAAAATAAGAAGAACCTTTGTTTTACTAGACACTACCCCCGAAATTGATAAGTTCTCGATAATTATCCATCCGTTTTTTTTTCAATTCTTCTTTTCGCATTCTTCATCATCGGTTGTTCGAGAATCGGGGGCGGTCATCCATCATTAGAATGTGATTCAAACGGAAGATAGAAAAGGAAGGAAAAAGAAGATCCGACTAGGGGCACGTGAGGATGCACTCTTATAGGCAATTTCAATATAGAGCTAGGGAAGGCTAGAATTCATTATCCGGCTATACACATGTGTGTGCCGGCTCGTTCCAGAGTGACACGTCAGTGCAAAACGCGCCTAGAACATTCTGTTCCCTTGCTCGCGCCCCGTGCCCCCATCGTTTCCGCTGCTGGAGGAAGCAGTGTGATTCTATTAGAATGCGAGCGTCGAGACACACACGACTGAAATAGTGCAAAGTAAGGACAGCCACTCGATTGGTCGGCCAACATTCGGTCACAAGAGGGCGAACGAAAAGATCAAAATCCTTTGAGAAGGAAGGGCAAAGGCGGGGACAGAAGTAATGACCCTCTTTTCTTTTTTTTTTTTTGTTTTTCTAGAAGAATCCTCTAGAAGAAGTCGGCAATTTATTCGTTTCAGCATCCGCTGGCGACAACCAGAACATTGATGTGATTGGCGACGGCAGCGAATCGCCAACTTCTTCAAATCACAGCGTACAGGTAATCTAACGTAACAAAATGTTTACAGAAGAGAAAAAAAAATCGCGGAAAAAAATTTTTTTGGCACAATTCCAAGAGCTTTCGGCCGTTCTATTTACTCTGAAATCAGAGCGGAGAGCAGATAGTGAGAGAGGGCTTTATTTGCTTTGTTGAATTTTTTCGTCACTTTTTTCTCTTTTTTTTTCCTCACTGTGCGCTTTGTTCCAACACTTTGGAAGACTGAACGCAAAGGCAGAGAGCAGACGGCAGAAATTTTGCTTTTATTTGTTTGATCATATGTAGTCAAGTAGCGCTGAGCTTGACAGATGAAAAAAAAATGAAAAAAAAGGGAAATGAAAGTTTTAGTTTCCGTACTAATCAACTGATAAGGCAAAAAAGAATAACGACATACACAGAAAGTGACGAAAGGTTCAAACAACTCTTTTTTGTAGGAACTCGCCATGTTGACAAGCCATCAGAACTTGTTCAATGCTTTCAAGGACTCTCAATTCATCTTTAACCAGGTCCCAAAGCAAGAGCCAGTAGCACCACTCAGAGTTGCTCCAGCAACCAACGGAACCACAAATGGAGCTACTAAAGCTGCTGGACCAGAGAGAAAGCCAAGGGTATACCACATGTTCCAAGGACCACAGTTTCTATTTTGATTATTTTTAGAAGCCAGTCAACGATGATATTGTCAAGATTGTCAGAAATCAAGACTTGAGCGAGGAGAACATTGCCACCTTCCAGATCCCAGTGCCAAAAGCGCATTTGTCAGATCCAAGTATGACACACTTCATTAAATATTTCAATCATTTCCCTTTTTCTAGCCTTCCGACCAGTGTCCGAACAACAAATCATCCAGCAGATCATTCAAGGCAAGAAATACGACGAGATGGAAGTTGGAGAGACAATGATCCAGCTTTGCAAGAAGTTGGCCGAGAAGCGAGTGTTCGGACCAAGACTCATGTCGCAAACCACCGTTGCTGGTCTCAACCACTCGAACTACTCCAATCTTCCAATTAAGGGAATTTGCTACATTCAACGTAATTTCAGAATTTATAGACGGATACTGACCTTCTAATATTTTCAGATGTCTGCAGAAAAGTCTTGTATGACAAGTTCGAGAACGAGGAAGACTTTTGGGACAAATTCCGTGAGGCAATGCGCAAGTTGGCCGCCAGATGCCGCAGAGTCAGACACGCCAAGAAGACGAAGCACAACAGAGAAGAAGCTCAGGCTGAGATGTTGAGCAAACGGTAACCTAGTTTTTCAGATAGAACCTGTTCTGATTTTTTGGGTTTTAGATATGGAGAGGATATTCCATTCAATTTGAACGGCTCCGGATTGATCATCCCAAAGTCCGAGCCTTCAGAGACACCAGCAGTGAATGGAGACATCAATATGATCACGATGGGACAAATCGGCACTCTTTTGACTCAATTTAACGCAGACGTAAGTTAAGTGATTGCTGGTAAATATCTATTGTGAGTGGTTTTCAGAGAAAAACACCACTTACCGAGGTTCTGCCAGCTGAGCTGTTAACGACGTTCCTAAGCTACTTGAATCGGCCGAAACAAGAAGTTCAGTCTCCACCACCAGCACAAAATCCACAAAATCCAAACTAGATTGTTTCGCCCAACATCGTCTTCCAATGAGCAGCGTCCCACATTATCTGTTGTATTAGTGGAGCATGTTGGACTTTCAGTTAGGCAGACTGAGACTCTAATCCAATTGAAACTGCAACATGCTCCATACTCTCGCTACGTCATTGGAATTGACTCACATTCCAAAAAAAAATTCGCCCTTTCTATCCCATCCAATTCTTCTTGTCCCGGATTCTCCACACCACTTTCACCGATGTATACTTCTTTTTTCGCGTGCGCAAATCATTTAACCCAATATGTCCCATCTATTCGAGCATTTAACGCTTTCGGCTTCAGATTTCTAATCGCTGTTTTTACTCGCTTTGCCCTTCCCCAAATTTCGTTAATATGCAACAATTCTACCTCGCAATTGTTTTAATATCTCTCAATTCTCAGTTCTTCTATGACTCTATTGATTTCGATTGTTTTCCTAGCTCTGAAATTCTACAAAACACCCACACCCCCTTCATAGGCGCTACTTGAACTGTATCTCTCCCCATTGCTCATTTTCCCCCATTTTTGTCCAACCCCTCGTAGTTTCTCTCGACTAGAAAAAACTCTTGAAAATCTCTACCGTTGTCGGGGGATTGATGAGAGAGTATTGCTTTTTCCTGCACCACCCCCAATTCTTAGCCCCCCGCCCTCCCCCCCATTTCCTCATTCGCTCTCAGGAACATTCAAAAAAAACCCTCAGGAATTTGTCAAAACTTTGGTCTCTCATCATATATCTTACCTCCTCTTGTCACACAACCCCCGTCCCAAATTTAGATCCCAACTCAAGTGTTTTTCTTTTTTTTTCCTTTCCTCTATATTTTGTTTTCTATTCACAATTGTGTCTTTTTTCTTACCTTTCCGACTAGTGCCCAAATTTCTCGTCATTTCGATTACTCCAAACCAACTCAGGGAACTTTTTTCATTGAACTCAGGAACTTTTTTTCATTTTCTACCTCAGGGAACCACTCCAACTTTCTAATCATCAAAACCAATTAGTCACGAATTTAGTATTTTTATATATTTCTATCCGCCCTATTTTTAGCTTTTATTGTAAAAACCAATCAGGAACATTTGAAAATGATCTCATTTGAAAAACGAAATAGGCACCAGAATGATTTTCAAATGATTCTGATTATCATCTACACTCAATGCTGTCAAAAAACTCAAATTCCACTCAGGGACCTCTTTTTCTCATTCTTCTGTATCACAACAAAATTGATTCTATTTCTGATGAATGTTGCTTTGTCATAAATTTTTTGAACCTTTTAAATACAAATATTTGAACCGAAAAGCCGAAATGTGTTTCCGTATTTGTCCTTATATCTCTCCCCCAAAATCTCTCGCCAGTTTTTTTTTTCATGTAACCTACCTCAAACACAGTTTTTTGTATTTTAACGCCCCCGTAAACGATTCGCTCTTTCCCCCTTTGTAAGTCCCCAGTTTACTTTTTGTACCCTGTGAGCGTTCAAAACACAACAATTACCTCAAACACACCTCTTCTTTCCAATTACAGTCCATCCCAATGTACCTCTGAATCTTGCTTCGCTTACCTCGGAATTGAATATCGGCTTAAATTCTAATAAAACCATTACATCTTAATTTTTGTTTGATATAGCAATGTAAAAATGAGGGGCAGTAGAAAATGCTTCAAATATTCAGACTGAAAAATTAGAAAATATTTTTGTAAACTGCATACACTTTCAAAAAACGTAGAAATACAGCACAGGAAGAAATACCATGAGTGTTTTCATATAATACAGTTTGAGCTCAATCATATTGGCTGCAAAAAAGCCTGTCAACTTACAAAATATTTCCTATAATATCACCAGTATTTTATCAGTTAACAAACTTTTGTTACTTTTTGTAGAAATTGCAAAAATTGAGCTCAAGGTGAAATTATAAGATTTTGATAGAGAAAATCGGAATTTAAATTAGGTTTATTTTTGTGAAAATTAATCAACCTTGTAGTTTTAAAAAAGTATTCAAGAATTTTTCGATATTTCTGAAATTTTCAAAATATATCTAACAATAATAGAGCTTTAGTTTTGTGATTGACTATACCATATCTGGCAAAACTGTCTTAATGTGCTTTGACTTTCATATCTGAGTTTTCTGTACCGTATTTTCTGACGTTAGTACATCCTATACGTACACTTACAGCTCAATCGTCTCGGTTCCTTCAAAAGATAGCAAGAAAATTTTGCTCTTTATGACAAGGGGGGGGGGGCCATGAGAAAAGGGGGGGCCATGAGAATAGGGGGGGGGGGGGGG